TTACTATAGTTCACACTCCGTGCCATGCGGCACTTTCCTTTTTCGTTCTAACCCCACCTTCTCGCACAGCGCTGCCTTTATTCTTCTTCTAGACACAAACTCTCTCACGCAGTGGAGCTGGTCACACGGGCTGTGCCCTCTGACATCATCAGCCACTGCTTTTATCAACTGTACAGTACATAGGTACAAACACTCTGTATTAGTATAAATACCCCAATAGATCAAGGAGACTCCTCAGCGAGTCCTCCTGTTGTATACCAACAAACTCTCTGCAGCTTAAGGGGTAACCGCTCCCTCCTCACTACCTTTATAGTGTGTTCTTGTGTGTGCCAGAGTAACTAACTCTTGGTTGTTACAATGGGCCGTCATACGTTATCCCAGGGGACCTGAGCAACAACATCATCTTCAAGTTGTTCTTGTTTCAGCAAACGGGTCGGCATATGGACAGCTTGAGAACCCCATCAAGAGTTTTGGAGTCCATTCACTTGCAGTTCTTTTTTTACCATCAATGGAAGAAAACGGCAAGTGGCTCCAGGGTCACAAAAAGGCTGATATATATGGGGGGGGAGAGAATAAACTTTCATTTTATTTTTTATAAACCTTCTTGCAGCCTATCTCACATCTCACCTACTATGACAGAGTCCAATGCCTCCGTGATTGAATAGGGATCGAAAATGAGTGGGCAAAGTTGGAAAAGTCCACAACAGTGGATCAAGGGGGCTAAGGAGTGTATTCTCAAACGTCAAACGAAACTAACCAATCACATAGGGGGGGCCCGGAACTAGGTAACGTTGAAGCTTTTTTGTTACAGGAAGACAATAGCCAGCCGGGGGATGGATTTGTTTGTGTTGTGTTTGGTGATTGAATTGATACTGTTTGATTTCTGTGAGCTCCGAGTTCAGGGGTGGCCTTGCGATCATCAGGACTATATGTACGTACCTCGCTGCTATTCATGTTGCAAGCTTGCAGACCAAACCCCTACTGACATCATATGCAAGTGATATTGTCACGTATCGCCCCCGCAAAAAAGACTAAAAATACAAGAAAAGACAATGACAATAAAAGCGTTGATAAAAAACAACAACAATGGTATCTGCGGGGCGGGGGATTAGCCTATTAGTCACATTTATAACACAGAATCATCGCAGGTGGAGACATTCATGTCCGTCGACACACCGTTAAGATACAACTTGGTAAGATAAATACTATACTTGATTTATGCCCGGGGTCTTCCCCACATAGCTTTGCATGGCTCGTGGTTAATCAGCGGTTAATTGTCTCGCTGTTGAACTCAGTCGGATCCTAACCAATTGTGTTTCATCATCCCATCACAATAACAAAGTGTAATAGTTGCCTTGGAACTTTGGCTGTATATACCACGAATACGAATGAGGACCGCAGAGGTATTACTTTGTTATCAAGACAATGAGACGGCAATCTCTGCCCAACCGTAGGGCAAGCCATAGGGTGTAAGCTACCACTGCAACATTGCTTCTGGATCCTCCCAATCCATCACGTCCTGCAATGAGAAGCAATGCAAAACACGCCACCCAGGGGGTCCCGGGGGAGAGTTCTAAGCAGTGCAAATTCTCGGATCAGATGGGTGTGAATAATTCTGATCGCGCAGTGTCACCCACGCACCTCGAGGTTTAGAGAAAGTAGAACTGAATGCCTGTTTGGGGGGGCACACACAGCGCACACACTGTATATGATTTCATTTCCTTGTTACGCCCCATATTGAGACATACCAGCAGAAATTCGACCTAGGAATGTATCTCCTTGTGGCTGCATCATCCAATAACCCGCTACCGAGTTATGAAGCTCTTGCTGAAGCCCGCTCCACCGAGGGATAGGTTAATGCTTGCATCGATTAGTTCAGTATGACACCAACCAATTATAGCTGTGCTTACTACTAGCTTCTACAATACAGATCTGCGACCTCTCAAAACAATGTTCTGACCATGTCGGAGTGCCCAAGCTCCCCATCTACACTTGGACCTGTTGACACAACTGCATTAGCCAGTTGGGTAAGCAACAAAGTGTAATGAATTCCAGTCCTGAGCTGCGCGTGACCAGTTCAAGACCGGTATTGGCGTGAGCCAATTGGAAGACATTCTAGTTTGAGAATCATACCTGTTAACGCAGAACAGCACAAGCATTCCTGCTCCTTGCAAAAAACCTCTCTGACTCGCAATGTTGTGCCTTGGACACTGCTAAAAATGTGTGTGTGTGTGTGTGTGTGTGAGTTCCAAGCTTCACCAGACATCACAGCTATAGGATTTGGCATTCGGGACTTTCCAAAGGGCCATTTTTAGTTCTCATGCTGCTGTTGTGAGGACGGTATCCACGGCTTGAAACTGCAAAAGGCGCTTATGCAGTGCCTTGCTTTCATTATCGTTAGATCATGCATATCAAACACACAAAACTGCTTGCTTCGGTTCCTCGCGTGGAGAACTTGCTCGAGACATCATCCGCGTGGCATGGATGCTGAAAAGTTGTTGCAGTACACCCCAGTTGCGATGGTGGTATCACCAGGTACACGTTGTTGCAATTGCCTCAAGACTATCTTCAGCTGACTAGCTTTAATGTACGTGTTTCTTCAAGTATCGCTATCTATGGGTGTGGGGAAATGCAGTTAGAAGCGGGTATCCGAATCCTATTGGAGTTCAAGAAACAGAACCAAATCTACCAATTTGAATAGGATCAGTTAAGCGTGTGGCAGGAGAGAATAGCGAGCAAATGAAAAATGATGTCAGGCACATACCTCAGAGTAATCAGTGTCAAACAAGCAAAGGATCAAGAAAAGTCGAACTTGTCCCTCGCAACACACAGCTTCAACGTTTCGAACTGGGGACCTTGGCCCATGGAGAGAAATTCATACATTGGAAATAGTACTAATATACGTATCTATGGATATGGTAGATGCAGATAATGCCCAAAACCCAATGAGATGAAATGCAGAACAACCACGAAGATGAGGAAAACAACATGAGTAGCAAAAGAGAGAGAGAGGAGAGACAAAGAACAAGTGAGACAAAGAGACTATAAAACATTGCTAGACTTGGTGGGTCCAGCCACAGCAGCAGCAAGTAAGACATATGCATTGATGCAGACCTCCTTCTTTGCCTCCTCCTCGCAAAATGATATTGTATAACTCGCTATGCCTTGCTAAGCAATAGCAATCACAAGGGATGATCCATCCAGAGATTGCAGTATAGAAATAGTGGGAGATGCCGTGATGGCAACTCGTGGACATGACCATAGAATGTGTTGCATATAGCAATGTGTCCATGTAACAATGGTAAAATATCAGTGTGTCGTTGGTGTGTGTTTTGGGCGACGCGGAAACAGAGAAATAGGCATTGGCTGTGAATTGTTATCGGCGAGCAATGTATCTCCAAAATATTCCGTTAGGAGGCTGTGGAAGAAGACGAATGAGCATTGTTGTTGATTGTGAACAGTTCAGAGATGACGGATCTGAGTGCCATGAGTGGAGTCATCTAGAGGGCACGCGATGATGGTTATTATGCGTAGACAAAGGAGGAGAGAGAGATACATACAAGCTCTAATACACTCCCAGATCTCTACGCCGCAACCTTTTGGATCCCATATCCCACACTGGGAGTAGAGACTCCAGTAAATATTGATCTCCCATATTCTGGTGGCATTGCTTATGACAGCGGTTGGCATTGTGTGGGGCAGGATGGGATGTATGGGCTGGGATGGGATGTGAGACAGGGGACACGAAGGTCTTTTGAAGAGGGCAGGTTAAGGGGGTCGGATCGTCAAAAGAACAGGAAGGTGATGTCACGACCTGAACAAGAGCGCTAGTTTCTTTTCTCATTTTCTTTAATATCTAATCACATGACAGACATAATATGTTAAGCTGCTGCTATTAGCGCGGATAACATAATACTTAGTTATATCAGATCACTTGACCATCACGTGACAAAGAGCCTAGAACTATTACAAAGAACATCAGTCAGCCCCTCATGGCTACTGCATGTTATATCAGTCAGCGCCTCATGGCTGACTTTCAGAAACGTATATATAGTGAACATCCATGTACATATTTTCCTTAGTTGTTGATTACTTCTCAATTGATTACTTGTGATGCTACTTGTCGATTTAAGGTCTTCATCCCTCCGTTAGTTCGGTATAGGGGATAAGGCTTTTACACAATCAACAACTACCACGAGTACCGTCCATGAACGTAACAGCAACAATCCTAACCACCATCACCATCATCATCATCATCATCTTCCTCATCCTAGCCCTACTCAAACGCTCAATCCAAACCACCACTACCCTCCCACTTCATCACATCCCCACTCGCCCCAACACCATTTTATCCTTCTTTCCCGCCAACGTATCACCCTCATCCTCCCAAGACTCTTTTGTCACCATCCCCCTCTAGTTACCCCTTTTATATCATCATAATCTCTTTGGTGTGGAACCACTGGGATTTTCTCGGTTTTACGTAGTTTCATCCTTCGAATTCCTCTGACCAGGCCGCGCATTTGCGTCCGCCAGTCGGGAGAAGAACTGACAGCTTAATAAGCGGGTTACATTGGGACAACCGTTCGGACCCCAATTTATTACAATACCTTTTACATAAAATTCATAAAAATACAAAAAATAGTTACCTTACATACATAGTCAGTGGTGGATGGAAGAGGACCACCTTGACTCAAAGAGAAAAGATAGACTACTAAAGATTTTAGAAAGCGGTGTATCGATCCAGCTTATCACTGGTGAACTCCTTTCTATGCTTAGTAGAGAATTATACATTTGGATAGGAGAGCAACGCGTCTACTCCCAAGATTACGTATTCAGAGGACAATTTCCTCTATCAGAGATAACAACAATCAGAATCCCATCCCCCGTAATTAAATCCGAAACTCCCCCTCCTCCCCAACTCAAATTCGATGTCAAACCTAGAATATTGAGATCTGCCCGAGCCATCCAACAGCACGGACAGCGCCTTCACCAGGGAAATGATGGACTCATTACCCAGAATAGAAACTCCCCCCCCGAAAGAAGCGCAATTGGAAGCATTCGTAAAACAAGAAGTGGAAAAGGCAGTAAGAGCAATACGGATGCTTTACCAATCGCAATTAGACGAGGCACTCGAAGAAGTGAGCGTCTTAGAAAGAAAGCTAAAGAAGCAATCATCGCCACCTCCAGAAAGAACGGAGAGAAGTAGAACAGCATTGGAGAAGCCAGAAAACTTCTCCGGAGATAAGAAAAAGTACAGGGCCTTTAGAGAGTCCTTACTTCTACATTTCGAAGATGATGCCATCTACTTCAAAGATGATAGAAAAAAGATAAGCTTCATGCTATCTTTTATGAAAGAAGGAGAAGCCGCGGCCTTTCGGACCGACTGGCTGGAGAACCGGGTCGACGCTCAACAAATGGGGCTCGACATCACAAACACATACGGAAGCTGGCCGTATTTCGCAGACAAAATGGAAGAAAGATTCAAGGACAGCTTTGAAAAAGAAGCTGCCAAGAATGAAATATTGACCCTAAAACAGGGCAATGAAACCGCCCAAGCCTTTTTTGAAAGGTTTGAAGACAAGAAAAGATGGGCGGGACACAAAAATAGGATAAATGAAGAGTTCCTAATATCTCTACTCAGAAGAAATATGAATAAGCCGCTAGTAGATAGGGTGATCTACGGTGGGCATATTCCTAGAGATTACCAAGAGTGGAAAAGAGAACTCATCAGAATGGACTATATTTGGAGAGAAAGAGAAAAAGAGAAGAAAGGTTCCGAAAACGGAAAGAAATCCTATTCGGAACAAAAGAAAGAAGGAGAGAAGAAAAGAGACGGAACCGGGTATACCTATACCGGTAACGGAGAATGAATGGAGGTGGATAAAGCAAAGTTCCGCACCGAGGGACGATGTTACCGATGCGGAGAGAAAGGACATAGAAGCTTCGAGTGCAAAGACGCACAAAAAAGGAAGCCGCAATTTAATGTCCGAGAATTCTTAGAGAAGATGACGAAAGAAGAAAGGGAAAAACTCCTGGAGGGTTTTTAAAGAGGCCAGCGGTACCGCATTGACCGACTGAGCCTAAAGACGTTTCGAATCAATTTCTTCCTTTAACTGTAGATATGTATGACTCAGAATTGTTAAGCTGCAGCTTTAGCACGGATGACAATAAAACTATTTCCACTCAGACAAAGAAAGAAATCCGAAACAAAAAAGATGCAACCAGAGTAAAAGCGGCGCAGAGTGATGAGACATCCGCAGTTCCAACGGCGGGCAAATCACTAGAAAGCGCAGCATTTACGATAGATACTAAGATTCCTACACCCGATGCGGCAAACTCTACGGAGGAAAACGCAGCAGAGACTGTAGAAGAAAGGTCAGGAACCCCTTTAAAAAAACCTAGAACAGAAGTTTGGACCCCAGAGTGGGTAGTAGACAGGCTAAGAGACCAAAAGGAAGAAAGATCCATTGGGATTCTAAGTGCCTGGACACATAAAAAAAGAACGAGAGAAGTAACCCGGGAAACGATCAAAGAAATCAACCAGTTACCAAAAGTAGAAGCTATACAAGCGATCATAGAAATTGCCTCCCCAAAAAAGTACATTAGGGGCACCCAAGGCAATCAAATGAACGTAAAATGTAAGCTTACTACATTAGATACTCTTCAATCAGAAACAGTCGAAGCACTATTGGACAGTGGATACACGGGGAGTTGCATCGACTCCCAATTTGTGAAAGACAAAAGATATGAGACAAGGAAGATACCGAGACCTATTCCAGTCTATAACGCAGATGGAACTCTTAATAAAAACGGAGCCATCAATGAATTTGTAATACTGCTCATGGAAATCGACGGACACGTCGAGAAGATACATCTTGCCGTAACCAATCTGGGTAACGGAAAAATGTTTCTAGGACATGAGTGGTTAAACAAACACAATCCCAAGATAGACTGGAAAGAATTGAAGTTGACCTTTTTGAAAGATGTCCCGAAGAATGCAGACCGAGAATCCAAATCTCTGATCCAGAGGAGGATCCGGAAATATTCTTTGAGGAACTAGGAGAAGACGAGCGGATGATACAGGTGAACCTCCATAATTTCGAAGATGCCACGATCGACGATCAATATTACCATATCAGAGCCCAAGGCACAATGGCACAGAAGCTAGCAGAAGCCGCAGGCAAGGATCGAAAAGAAGGAGGATTCGAAAAGATAGTGCCAGAACACCTTCATCAATACAAAGACGTATTTGATAAAAAGGAGTTTGACACGCTACCTGAAAGAAGGCAATGGGATCACGCAATTGAACTTATACCGGGAGATCACTCCCTAGATTGCAAGATCTATCCGTTGGCAAGGGGAGAACAAGAAGAACTAGATGCATTCCTAAAAGAGAATCTAAAATCGGGACGGATAAGACCATTGAAGTCCCCGTTCGCATCACCATTCTTCTTCATAAAAAAGAAAGACGGAAAGTTAAGACCGGTTCAAGATTATAGGAAACTAAATGATATCACTATCAAAAATAGATATCCACTTCCATTGATCGGAGAACTAGTAGACAAGTTGAGTGGAGCAAAATACTTCACAAAACTGGACGTAAGATGGGAATATAACAATATCCGAATGAGAGAAGGAGACGAGCATAAAGCGGCATTTAGGACAAATCGAGGGTTATTCGAACCATTAGTCATGTTCTTCGGACTGACAAATTCCCCCGCCACGTTGTCGATGATGAGAACTGTGGTTAGAAAACCACACACAAAACAAACTAACACACAATCCTCCCAGATTCCACGGAACTTGTTTATGGGCTTTGCCTCCTAGAACAGTGGAGTGGTCTGGTTGTTCGTGGGGTGGTACGTATAAAGATCCTTCAAAGTAAAACCCAGAGGTGTATGAGTGTGGGTTTTGAGGAGGAGGGATAGTTGAATTTATAGGAAGATAGGTGCTTTGTGGCGAGTATAGACGAGCACTACCTTGCTAATGGTAGCACAAGGTAGGTTTGAGAACGACAAGGATGACGAGGTGACGAGGTTCCCAGTGATAGCAGGCTCCTGACGCACAAACTGTAGTGCTCAGAAGGACTCTAATCAAAAGGGATGACAATGACTTCAAAAGTGGGAAGTGACGATGACAGCAGTTGACAGTGGTAGAAGTGGGAAGTGTTGTGACCACACTGGATCACAAGTAGCAGAGTAGTGAACTTGAGAGTAGAGAAGAAGTCTGGATTGGAGTTCTTGTTTTTTTTTACAAGGTAAAATACAGGGGTTTATATAGTAAAAGAAAAGTAGGCTATGCACAGTATAGCTGTGCAAAAAGAATGAGAAAGAACATGAAGGAAGGAATGTATGCTGACGAATCCTGCGTAGGTAGTACAGGATAAGATTGTCAAAAAAAAGGAAAAGAAAGAGATAGAACAATGAATGCTGTGAGTAATGTCACAGGTTTGTACAGCCATAAAGTAAAGTCCAATAGCAAAAAGAGAGCAGGAAAATCATGATGTCATGGGAAGATGCAGTAAAAAAAGGGCAAGGTAAAACACTATCAGTATCAACACAGTTCCTTTATTGTCAGTCAGGCATTCTAAAAAAATATGTGTCCATAAAAATGATTCAAAAATCAAAAATAATCGCACTGTAAATGAATGTTCTGCTGAAGAAAAAGAAACTGGAGCCACCAGTCCACCACCTAGTCCAAATCTGACAGTTCCATGGCCTTACCAATGGACTGGTTGTGTTGGACCACCTGATCAAACAAGGGAGGGAGAGGAGTAGTTCCAATTTGGAACAAGTGAGTCCCAGGCAGCGTGTGGTAGGTGTAGCTGTAGCGAAGACGATGGACAAATGATAAGTGTACAAGTGAATGGGACAGCGATGAACATGGGTGACGCAAGGGGATGAACCTTCTCCAGCTCAAAAATTACCCACCCACGCTCCAACCAGGCAAGACGAGCGACCGATGTTTTGATAGTATATGATGGTAGATCAACGTCATGAAGATGGACCTGTTGCCCAATTTGAACCGGCCGCCGGGGCTTTGCTGATATCAGCAGTGGCACGTGGTAGTCAACGGATCGGCGACGGAAGCGGATAGGAAGTGGTGACATCAGAAATGGTGGGGGTGCAAATAAGATGAGGAGGAGGAGGGTGGAGGTGACGGAAAAGTGGATTAGAATGGGGATCCAGAGACGACCGTCAGGTGAGAATAAAAAGGAGAGGAAGGGGCCCATGGTGGGGCTAGGCAAAGGAAGGGGAGTAAGGGAAACGACAAAAGCGAGGGCGCAATGCAATGTGTAGCCAGTGGCGACGCGAAAATTTGCCGAAATGCCGAAACACGGAAAGTACTGGATGGAAAAGCAAAGGTGAGCGTGACTGGATTGCCTAATAGAGGTGGTGCTGATCAGCCACAAGTTCAAAAAGGGCAATATTAATTACTATTCCACGTGGCACTGTGCCTGTGTGGCGCAAAGGCGAGTCTTTTTGAATATTTGCTTCGTTATTGACACCTGTCCATGCTACCAATCAACTTTGGTGCATGACAACGTTCCAAACAATGATGAACGCGCTTTTCAAAGAATTGATAGACGAAGGGTTAGTGATCATATATCTAGATGATATTATGATATTCACCAAGGATATAAAAATGCACCGAGCAACGATGCGACGTGTGTTAGAAATCCTAAGAAAGAATCATCTCTATCTTAAACCAGAAAAATGCGATTTCGAACAGACAGAAGTGGAATACCTGGGACTGATCATCTCAGGGAACAAAATTCGCATGGATCCGGTAAAAGTAGAAGGAATTAGCAAATGGCCAGAGTGCAAAAATAAGAAGGAGATACAAGCATTCTTGGGATTTGTAAATTTCTATAGAAGATTCATAGAAGGCTTCGGGGAAGTAGCCAAACCATTGACCAAGTTAACGGGAAAAGAGGACTTCATTTGGGGAAATGAACAATGCGAAGCATTTAAAACACTGAAACAATGCGTAGCTTCAGCCCCAGTGTTAGCTCTCCCAGTACCACATGGCCAATACAAAGTAGAAGCGGACAGTAGTGACTTCGCTATGGGTGCTGTCTTATCACAAAGACAAAAGGATGACTGGAAGCCAATTGCATACCTCTCCAAAGCGTTAAATCCCACAGAACGCAATTACGAGATCTATGACAAAGAACTTCTTGCCATCATGACGGCACTTAACGAATGGAGACATTACTTAATAGACGCAGAAGAAGAATTCGAGATATGGACAGATCATCAAAATCTGCTGTATTTCAAAGAACCAAAGAAGTTGAACAGGAGACAAGCGCAGTGGATGACGGAGTTAAGCCAGTATCATTTCACAATACATCATATGCCGGGAAGGAAGCATATAAAAGCAGATCTTCTCTCGAGGCGATCAGATCATAACAAAGGAGAAAACGACAACGAAGACGTTGTGTGTCACAACTTGAACCAGAAGCGCTAGTCTAAGCGCTAGTTTCTTTTTTCCCCTTTTCCTTTATATCTGATCACATGACAGATAAGATATGTTAAGCTGCTGCTTTAGCGCGGATAACATAATACGTAGTTATATCAGATCACGTGACCACCACGTGACATGAGTCTAGAATTATTACAAAGAACATCAGTCAGCGCCTCATGGCTGACTTTCAGAAACATATATATAGTAGACCATCATGTACATACTTTCCTCAGTTGTTGATTAATTCTCAATCGCTACTTGAAACGCTACTTGTTTGATTTGAGTTTTTATCCCTCCGTTAACTCGGTATAGGGGATAGAAGTTTTACACAATCAACAACTGCCACAAGTACCGTTTATGAATATGACAGCAACAATCCTAACCACCATCATCGTCACCATCA